CTGCAACGGACTACTAATGCTAGGGCAGCAGTGTCCCTGCCTAAACCTCCTGAATACATTTTAGTTGGGTTTCCCATTGTTAATTTTCACAGAACCATTCATGAATTGGGCAGCATCCCACCCAACAAGTAAATAGGAACTCAAAGGAACTGTGGCAAAATGGAAGACATTTGTAGGATGAAAGGGGGAAACATAAAGAAAGAAAGGATTACCTCATCTTCCTTTGGCTTATGTGGCAGATTACCTCATTGGTGCTAACGGGAAAACTCCACAGTCTCACCAGTTAAGACTATATTCCTTCCTAGGGTTCTGCGCTTAGTGCAGAGTCTGCTTAAGAGTCTCTTCTTCTCCCTTGGCAACCCTCCCCCACAACTTGTGCTCTCTCTTATTAAAAAAAAAAAAAAAAAAAACAGATACTTTGTGTATACTTAATGCAGTTTCTCTCAATAGTGCCATCTTACAAAATTATTGTATAATATCACAAGGTCTAAGTATATGACCTTGATATAGTCAAGATACAAAACATACCCATTACCCTAAGGATCCTTCATGTTTCCTAGTCAGACTTTTTTCCCTCCCAACTTCACCCCCTCTTTAATCCCTGATACCCACTACTCTGTTCTCCATTTCTACATTTTGTCATTTGAAGATCTTTATACATAAAATGGAATCACACAGTAGATAATCTTTTATGCTTTTTTTTCACTCAATATAATTATATATTTATACAGGCTGTTGTGTGAATCAATAGATCGTTTCTTTTTATTGCTGAGTAGTATTCCATGGTATGGCTATACCACATCATAACCATTTATCATTGGAGGATATCTGGATTATTTCCAAATTTTGGTTATTAAGAATAAAACTGCTTTATTCATGCACAGAGTTTTTTAAAGTGTTATGAAATATACATAATATTTGCCATCCTAACTTTCTGTAAGTGTACAGTTCAGTACTGGACCACTCTCTTACACCATACCTAAAAATGAACTCAAAATGGATTAAAGGCTTGAATATGAAACCTGAAACTATAAGACTCCTAGAAATAAAAAGAGCTCTTAGTTCTTGACATTGATCTTGGTGATGATTTTTTGGACTTGACACCAAAAGCAAAAACAATAAATAGACTACCTCAAACGAAAAAACTTCTATACAGCAAAGGAAGCCATCAACAAAATGAAAAGGCAACCTACTGAATGAACGAAAATATTCACAAACTTCATATCTGATAAGGGATTAATATCTAATATATAAAGAAGCCATGTAACTCAATAGTAAAACAAAAAATTTCAATTAAAAAATGAGCAGAGGAACGGAATAGACATTTTCCCAAAGAAGACATACATATGATCAATAAGTACATGAAACTATGCTCAACCATATCAAGGAAATGCAAATCAAAACCATAATGAGATATGCCCTCATACCTGATACAATGACTATTATCAAAAAGAAGTAAGCATTGGCAAGGAAGTGGAGAAAAGGGAAATTTTATGCATTATTGATGGAAATGTGAATTGGTTTAACCACTATGGAAAACAGTATGGAGTTTTCTTAAATAATTAAAAGTAGAACTACCAAATGCAATTCTACCTCTGGGTATTTATCTGACGGAAATGAAAACACTAACTCAAAAAGATTTATGCACCCCATGTTCATTACTGCACTATTTATAATAGCCAAGACATGGAAGCAACCTAAGTGTTCATCAATGAATAGAAAAAGAAAATGTGGTATATTTGGAAAGTGGAATATTATTCAGCCACAGAGAAGGAAATCTTGCCATTTGGGACAGCACTGCTGGATCTTAAGGGCATTATGCTAAGTGAAATTAGGCAGGGAAAGACAAATACTGTATGATCTCACTTATATACAGAATCTAAAACAAAACAAAACCCAAATTCATAGGTACAGAGAACAGATTGGTGGTTGCCAGAGGTGAGGGATGTGGGATGGGTAAAGTGGGGAAAGGTGGTCAAAGGTCCAGTTATAAATAAGTCCTAAAGATGTGATATACAATATGGTGACAATAGTTAGAACTATTATATTTTGTATATTTGAAAGTTGCTGAGAGGATAGATCTTAAAAATTCTTATCACAAGAAAAAAATTTGTAACTATGCGTAGCGATAGATGTTAACGAGACTTGTGATCATTTCACAATATATACAAATATTGAGTTCTGCTGTTGAAAAAATCGGTTGTACTTATATACACTTGTAATGTACAATCTGAAAATGAAATGAAAACACAATTTCATTTACAGTAGCATCAAAATAATATACTTAGGAATAAACTTAACAAAAGTGTAAAACTTAGAAAACCACAAAACATTTGGTTAAATAAATTTTAAAAGTCTTTTTAAAAAATTTTTATTTATTTGACAGACAGAGATCACAAGTATGTGGAGAGGCAGGCAGAGAGAGGGGGGGAAGCAGGCTCCCCGCCAAGCAGAGAGCCCAACACGGGGACCGATCCCAGGACCCTGAGATCATGACCTGAGCCGAAGGCAGAGGCTTTAACCCACCACACCACCCAAGCACCCCAAATTTTAAAAGTCTTAAGCAAATGGAAAAACATCTCGAGTTTACAGATAGGAAGACTTAATATTGTTAAGATGGTAGTACTCCCCACGTTGATCTATAGAGTCAAAACAATTCCATCAGAATCACAGATGACTTATTTGTAAAAACTGACAAGCTGATTCTGAAATTCATATGCAATTGCAAGAGACCCAGAAGAACCAAACCAATCTTGAAAAAGGAAAACAAAGTAGGAGGACTTCTACTTCCCTATTTTAAAGTTACTATAAGGACAATCACACACTATGATATTGGTACAAGAATGGGAACGCAGATCAATGGAATATAATGAAGAGTTCAGAAATAAACCCATACATCTATAAGATCAATCAATATTGACAATTCAGTTGAGAAAAATTGAGCAGGCTTTTAAATAAATGTGCTGCAACAACAGCACAGCCACCTGCAAAGAATGAAGTTGGGCCCTTATCTCTCATCATTTACAAAAATTAACTCAAAATGGGTCGAACTGCTAACTTCAAGAGCTAAAACTTTTTTTTAACTTAAATTTTGCTAGTTAACATATAATGTAATATTGGTTTCTGGAGTAGAATTCAGTGATTCATCACTTACCTATAGCACCGAGTGCCCATCACAAGTGCTTTCTTTCTTTTTTTTTTTTTTTTAAAGATTTTATTTATTTATTTGAGAGCGAGACAGTGAGAGAGAGCATGAGCGAGGAGAAGGTCAGAGGGAGAAGCAGACTCCCCATGGAGCTGGGAGCCCGATGTGGGACTCGATCCCGGGATTCTGGGATCATGACCTGAGCTGAAGGCAGTCGTCCAACCAACTGAGCCACCCAGGCGTCCCACAAGTGCTTTCTTTAATACCCTTCCCCCATCTGGTCTATCCTCTACTCCCCTCCCTCCATCAACCCATCAAACCCCCAAAGGATACTTAAGTGTTGGCTGAACCTGGTATGAGTAGAAGAGGATTAAGGAAATAAAGTAGAATAAATAGGACTTGATGGAAGAAGAGTTTCATGAGAATTATTTAGGACAAGAAAGAAGAATATGAATGCAGCTATTACAGAGATGAGAGTAGAAAAGAACTATGAGGAAGAGAGTAAAATGTGAAATAAAATGGCTGGTTATGAAGATTGTATGCTTCAGATTATGACAAGCCTCAGATTCAAATCCCAGTCCTGAAAATTACCATCTGTGATCTTGAACTAAGGACATGTGCTCTATCCGCAACATGTTCTACACCATCAAAAATCTTGATAACAGTATTTTTTTCAGGAGTGCCATAAGAGGATCGTCCATGTCAGGAAGATCAAGGAAAACACATGTAAAGCTTACACAAAATAAGTCCTCAAAAGCTATTGCATTAAACACTTACCAACTCATTCTTTGAGGCCAATATTAAACATAGAGTTACTGTATGACCCAGTAATTCCACGCTTATACATACACCCAAGAACACTAGAAATGTATATTCATGTAAAAATTTGCACGCAATTTGTCATTGCAGCATTATACACAATAGCCAAAAGTAGAAATAATCCAAATGCCTATAAATAGATTAATGGACAAAGAAAATGTGGTATACCCATACAACAGAATTTGTTAATAAAAAATACATGCCACAACACAGATGGTCCTTGAAAACATTATTCTGAGTGAAGAAGCCACTCACAGAAGACAACATTGTATGTATAAGAAATGTTCAGAAGAGGCAAATCTGTAGATACAGAGGGTAAATTAGAGTTCCTTACGGTTGGCAGGGTTAGGACAAATGGGAGTGATTGTTTGTAGGTATAGGGTTTCTTTTTGGGGTGATAAAAATGTTCCTAAATTAGCTAATGTTCCTAAATTGCCTCACCTACAACAAACTGACTACCCCTGAAGTTTCGCCAATGATAAACCATCATCACCCTGGTTTTCTCCAATGGATTTTCCCTCAAAATAATTTTCCAACTTCCTCCTTTTCCATGAAAGAGTTGTTTCTCTTCTTTGTTAGCTGGACTTGTCTACCATTTTAGCGGAGGGTTCCCCTCCTGAATTGCAATTCTGTTATTCCCAACAAACCCATTCTGCTGGTAAAAATAACTTACTTTTATTTTTAAGGTTAACAGATACAAGTTCCAGAAGAGTCTTGGGTGGGGCTCCACTCTTCACTGTGGACAAGTTTAGTGCAGTCATCTAAGACAAGCTCGATAGAAGTGGCCTCACCCTTTCCACCTCTAGACTACATTTCCCAGAAGTTCTTGCGGCTCTAATCAACTTCCGTGGGAACGCAGCAACCCTTTTCTATTTCTTCAGAAACATGTGGCTCCCAGGCACGAGCAGGCCCCAGAGAGGGAGCTTAGCTCCAGGATGTGTGGGCTGTATCCTGTGGGAACCTAACTCGGAGACTGCGCGTGGATCTATAAGACCCCTTGCAGCGATCTGGAGAGGGGAGCAGGAATATCGGCTTGGCCCAGGCTTAGGCGCCGGCAGGAAATCCAAGCGCGAGGCGCCATCTTGTCTGAGCCGACCTGCTTCCGGACTACATTTCCCAGAGGCCTCCGGAGGAACAGGGCCGCTCCTTCGCTCGCTTGCCGGATCCTCGGCCTCCCCGCAAGGGGAATTACAAGGTGAGCGGCCTAAGCGTTGGGGGCTCTACCAGGCTGCGCAGGTGCATCCATGGGTTGGGGAGGAGCAGCCTGAAGGGGCGGTCTGGGCGGGTCTGGAGTCTCGGGCGCTTATGACTTCGTCAGACTGGGGGAAGGGAGGAACAGGATTCCATGTGTGCGACGGTGACCTTATGTGACCGTGCGGCACTCTGTATAGGGGTGTGATTGTCTGTCCCTGTAGTGGGTGTGTCATTGCGACTGACCATGCGCGAACCTCTGTTTGCAGGTGTGGCTGGATATCTCGGTTGTAGGTGTGTGGTTCTGTGAGGCTCCGTGTGTGTAAGGTGTGGCTGTCCCCATGGTGGATCTGTGAGTGTGTGTTCGTTTTGTGTGACATTGTGTGTACGAGATGGGGATGTAAAGAATCTGTGATTATGCGGTCATGAGTGTTATCTGAGGAGTGTATGTGTGTGTGTGGTTTTATTTGTATGAATGTTAGCACGCTAAGCCTACTGGATGTCTGACTTTATGAGGACGTGTGAGTATGAACATGTAACTTTTTGTGGCACCGTGTGTGCAGTTGGAGGGTGCCTGTGATTGTTGGCCAGGGTGGCAGTGTGTGTTGTCCCAGTAGTTGTGTGAGGTCAAGAGAAGATTTTGGTTCTGGACAGCAGAAACTTCTTCCCTTCTGACATGCTCAGACTGGAATGCTCTGAACAGCCTAGACTCTGACCTCTCTCCATCCCTCCTCTCCCTGGGAGCTGGGGTGGGGGGGGGGGGGGGGGGGGGGGGGGGGGGGGAGGGGGGTGGGAGTAGGTGTGAATCCAGAGCTACTACTGCTTTGGTCAGTCTGGGCCGCAAGAAAGGCCTGGCATCTCATGATTCCTTTTTGGTTCCTCAGCTCTGCTCTTCTCAGTTAGGTCCCCAGAGGAAGAAGGAGGAATGAATGTTGAGGAAGCCAAATAAAAGGTGCTAGGGGGTTTCCTTTTTAAGCTTTTCTTCTGGGTGGCGACGTTTAATGTAGATTCATCTATGTGACCTGGACAAATTTCCATTAAAGAAAATGATGGGAACTTCAAGGGGTGGACACACAGATCCCAACAGTTCCCTTCATTTCTTTCTACATAGTGTTCACTTACTAATTTAGAAAATAGCTCAATTTCTCCGGTGTATTAAGCTTTTGCTTCTTTTTAAACACGCACATACATACGTACACATGATTATTTTAAGGAATTTGGAAAATGGGAAGTTACAGAGAGCAAAATAAACTCCTGGCACCCAAATACAACCATTGTCAAATATTGATCAATTTCCTTCTAACACATTTCCTGTGTATACAGTATACATTATTTTCAAGATCAGAATCTCAAAGCATTTATCATTTCATATTTTATGTTTTCACTAAAATTTATAGCTATTATATAATTAATTTTTCTTGGTTAAAAATTCCTGAATATTACATATTTCCACAAAAGTGTTTAAAATATAGACATATATATTAAGTTTAAGAATTATAAAGGGAACCTCTATATAATAAAAACTTGTGTCAGCCCTCCAGAAGCCTCTGTTCTTCCTGCCCCCAGAATAAACTTATTCTCTTCACCTCTTTAGGTAACCCTTATCCTGACTTTGGTGATAATGTATTTTCTTGTTTTGTTAAAAAAAAAAATTATCATATATTTACACATCTCTAAGTAATATAGTTCTGTCTTTTTTGAAATTAAATTGTGCTGGGTAATATTGTTTTGAGTCTTGTTTTTTTACCACAATATTGCATTTCTTAGACTTATCCTTATTGTTATAAACCCCAGTTATATATTTGGACATTTGTTTTTTTCTTGTTTTGGGCTCACTTAAAAGGGTTGCTCTGAACATTTTTTTTTAAGATTTTATTTATTTGACAGACAGAGACCACAAGTAGGCAGAGAGGCAGTTGGGGGTGGGGGGGAGCAGGCTCCCCACTGAGCAGAGAACCTGATGCAGGGCTCGATCCCAGAACCCTGAGATCACGACCTGAGCTGAAGGCAGAGACCCAACCCACTGAGCCACCCAGGTGCCCTAAACATGTTTTTATATGCATACTTTCCTAGGGTATAAACATGCAAATAGAATTACCAGGCCATAGGATATGTGTGTATCTTCAAATTTCCTAGATAATCATATGATATGTGGCCTTTTGTGACTAGATTTTTTTCATTTATCATGTTTTCAAGGTATATCCACATTGTGGTGTGTTACCAGAACTTCATTCCCTTTTATTGCTAAATAATATTCCATCGTATGGATAGGTCACATTTTGTTTACCCATTCATCTGTTGAAAGACATTTAGATTATTTCCACTTTTTGGCTATTGTGAATAATGCGGCTATGAATATTCATGGACAAGTTTTGTGTGAATATACGTTTTCAGTTCCCTTCAGTATATACCTAGAAATGAGACTGCTAAGTCATATGGGAACTCTGTTTAAGAAATGTCAAACCGGGGGCGCCTGGGTGGCTCAGTGGGTTAAGCCTCTGCCTTCAGCTCAGGTCGTGATCTCAGGGTCCTGGGATCGAGCCCCGCATCGGGCTCTCTGCTCGGCGGGGAGCCTGCTTCCCCCTCTCTCTCCCCGCCTGCCTCTCTGTCTACTTGTGATCTCTCTCTCTCTGTGTCAAATAAATAAATAAAATCTTAAAAAAAAAATTTAAAAAAAAATGTCAAACCGGGGTGCCTGTGTGGCTCAGTTTCCCCCCCTAAATCCATTAGAAAACCAGTTTCCATAGGAAACAACTGCTTTATTTTTTCCCCATAACTTCTATTAAGCTTCTCTGGGCCAGTTAATTTCCTGCCTATGGATAAGTCTTTCAGTCACAGTTGGAAAATAAACAGTCCTCTGGTTACTTTCAGTCACAAAATTGGTCTAATTTTAGTAATTAGAATGTCCGTTTCACTGTACTAATCGATGCCATAAATTTTAGTTTTAAAAAGCTATAAAAGTAGGGGCGCCTGGATGGCTCAGTGGGTTAAGCCTCTGCTTTTGGCTCAAGTCATGATCTCAGGGTCCTGGGATCGAGCCCTGCATCAGGCTCTCTGCTCAGCAGGGAGCCTGCTTCACCCTCTCTCTGCCTACTTGTGATTTCTGTCAAATAAATAAAATTTAAAAAAAAGTTACACCTTGTTTTACGTGGCAAAAACATATAGGCAAAGTTGTTATTTTAGAAAAACAGCTATAGGGTAGGAATGAGGAGTGCCTCTGTGTAAGGCTGAGGTGAGGAGTTCTGGGGGGATGGGAGTTGACATACTGTCTTGGTCTTAAGAAGAGAGAAGACTTCATTAGGGAAGTCTTAGTCCTTCTGATCAGAGCATACTGGGTTCCTGGACAAAGGATACCATTTGGGTGAATTTGCTTGAAGACCTGAGTGAGGACCTCAGAGGAGGGATCTCCTCAGGCAGGTCAAAGGAGCTCTGTCTTGGGTTCACTGAAGTGGGACAAGGTCTGGCCTGAATCACTTGGCTGAGGCAAGAACCTGGCTTAATCAGATGAAGGAAAGGAATAGGAGTCTGTATTCCTTTGAATCCACTAGCCGGGATCCATTTTACTAGAGCTAAAGCCTTGGACTTCTGGGTTGAATAAGTACGATTTATCCCATACTCCCACGAACCGCAGTTACATCATAAGACCTGGAGTGATCGGCTGAAAGCCAGTGTGGTTTTCTAGAACATTTCTTTGCTTCCCCAGTCCTGCTTTCTCAGAATACTATCCTTTCTCAGGAAAACAGCCCCAAGAAGGATTCATCCTCTCCTGCAATACTGAAAGCCATGGCCCAGGTGAGTTGATGCTTTTTTCTTACCTTCCTGACATTTAGTTTCAAAAAGAAAGAAAGAAAAGAAAAAAGAAAAAAATTTTCTAATGTTCATGTGACTGTTTGTTTTCCTACTCCTAACATTTTTGGCTATCAGGTTCCCTTTTCCCCTTCAGGATCCTTGGTCTCCTTTTCCCCTCAGTCTAACCAGATAATACATCACCATTCTTAAGTGCCCTCTTCTTTTGACCCAGCATTAATATTTTGCTCTGGCATCTCTTTTCTCAGCCCTCTCCCAGGAACTATGATGGAAAGGAAATGAATTCTTATAAAAAGAAATGAGAGTAGTTTTGTAGAATGAACTTAGTCTTTCCAGTGACTTGAAGAGGTGGAGAAGCACAACTTGCTTAGGTGGGAGCAAACCCGGGTTTGTTCTATGGATCGGTATTTACCAGTGAGATAGAATAGGAAGTGATGTTGGTAGTTCCAAATGTCAGACTGTTGCGACACCTCCTGGTTTATGAGCTTGGAAGATTTTGGTCTCGGTAGCTGATCCTATAGGTCTCTGTGACTTTTAGGGCATCCATGAACAAATTTCAATTTAAAGTTGAACAGGAAGTGTGGGTCATGAGGAATTTTCATATGACTCACCAGTTTGTTTGTTTTTTTTTAATCTCAGCAATAAAGATACTCCCTAAAGGGAGATGCTTGCATCTCTTTTAGCTGTTTACAATAGAATATATCCATATTTTAATGAATATTCCTATATTGCTATCTTGATTAATCAAATTTTTTTACATCTTGTAGTTATTTTTTTGCAAGGTGTGTGTGCATTTAGATTTGCTATATTACACTCTACTTCCTTATCCCACAACAGTTATATCACAATTTTGTTTAAAGCAATGCTATTTGTGTGATTAGAGCCTTGCGGATATTCTATTCTCTACCAACCCCCTTTAAAATTTTTCATAATAATGAATTTCAGACATAGGAAAGTGGAGGAGTTAAGAACTCCCATATACTTACCATTCAGCTTCACCTCCCAGTCAATCTTGTTTCATTTATACGGATACCTGTTTCTTCCTTACACATTACCCTGCCCTCCCTCCTATATGCAGGACTATTTTGAAGAAAATACAAATTGTATTTCTAAAAGATAAGGATTATTTTTAAGAACAACCATTATGCCATTATTGCCTCTAGAGAAGTGAGAAGTAATTTGTTAGTATCATCAATATCTAGCAAGTGTTCAAATTTTCATAATCGTTGAATTCTTTAATTGTTTATTTGAATTAGAATCCAAATAAGGACTGTGCACTGCAGTTCACTGAGGTCTTTTGAGTCTCTTATTTTGTAGGTACCCCTTCCATCTATTTTCTTTCTGTGTATGTTTTTGTTAGAAAAGGAAAAAAAATGGTTTGTTTGTCCACTCTTTGGATTTTGCCGATTGCATCTCTGTGGCATAGTTTAACTGTTTCCTGAAAATTGGTAGTTAAGTCTAGATGCTTGATCAGAGTCAGTTGGGATTTTTTTTTTTTTTTTTTTGTCATGAGTATGTCATAGGTGGTGATATGTGAGTCTATCAGGAGGCACATTATATCGGGTTCTGTTCCTTTTTGTAATGTTACCCACCATTGATGGTTATTGTCTAGATTAGAGGTTGCAGAATGATATTTTAATTCCTCCTTCATAGATTAGGTGAAATACTCTTTATAAATTAAAACGTCTCATCAACTGTCTGGTTACCCTAAAGGATAGTCTGTCTAGGAAAGAATATTTGAATAATGAGTTAGTTTCTTAGAATCCTAAAAAGGTGACCAGAAGGTTTTTTAATTCATTGTTGTTACGAGCTCATGATTTAAACATTTTTTAATCTATAGGTCCATTATATTAGATCATCAAATTATACCATTTTTGGCCATTGAGAGGCTCTTCAAGTTGGTGCCTGAGTCCTTGTAACATGATTCTAATAGTTTTTGATAGCTCTCTTGCTTTCTGATACAATAGAATAGTTCAGACTCATCCTGTGCATTTCTGACTCAATCCTGAAATCATCTCTTTCCCCAAAGGACCTTGGTTCTTTTTATTTGAATATGATACTTAAGGACTACAATGTAGACACTGGGGTGTTTATTTGTACTGGATGAATTATTATTTCTAGGCCTTTTCAATAAATAGAGTCAGGAACTTGTTTGTTTTCAATATAAAATAAACTGATTACCCTTTTTGTTCAGTTAACATACAATGTTATATTTGTTTCAGGTGTACAATATAGTGATTCAGCAATTCCATATATTACTCAGTGCTCATCAAGATAAGTGTACTATTAATCCCCTTCATTTATTCCACCCATCCCCCGACCACCTCTGCTCTAGTAACCATTTGTTTTTTCTCTATGGTTTAGAGTCTTTTTTTTTTTTTTTTTTTTTGGTCTCTCTCTTTTTTTCCTTTGTTGGTTTGTTTCATTTTTAAAATTTGACATATGAATGAAATTATATGGCATTTGTCTTTCTCTGACTTGCTTATTTTCCTTAGATCCGTCCATGTTGTTGCAATGGCAAGATTTCATTCTTTTTATGGCTGAGTAATATTCCATTGTCTATATAAATACCATACCTTGTCCATTCACCTATCAATGGACACTGAGGTTGCTTCCATGATTTGAGTATTGTAAATAATGCTGCTATATAAACATAGGGGTGCATGTATCCCTTTGAATTAATATTTTGTACTCAGTAATGCAATTACTGGATCGTAGAGTAGTTATATTTTTAGTTTTTTGAGGAACTTCCATACTGTCTTCCACAGTGGCCGTACCAGTTTGAATTCCCACCCTAGGGCAAGAGGGTTCCTTGTTCTCCATGTCCTCACCAACACCTGTTGTTTCTTGTGTTGTTGATTTTAGCCATTCTGACAGGTGTGAGGTGATATCTCATTGTGGTTTTGATTTACATTTTCTGATGAACAGTGATGTTGAGCATCTTCTCATGTATCTGTTGGCCATTTGTATGTCTTCCTTGGAGGAATGTCTGTTCATGTCTTTTGCCCATTTTTTAAAATTGGATTATTTGTATTTGTTTTTAGGATGTTGAGTTGTATTAGTTTTTTATATATTTTGGATATTAACCCTTTATCAGATATGTCACTTGCAAATATCTTCTCTCATTCTATAGGTTGCCTTTGCAACCTTTATTGATTGTTTCCTTTGCTATGCAGAAACTTTTTATTTTCACGTAGTCCCAATAGTTTATTTTTGCTTTTATTTCCCTTGTCTCAGGAGACATATCTAAAAAGATGTTACAGCTGATGTCAGAGAAATTACTGCCTGTGGTCTCTCCCAGGATTTTTATGATTTTGGGTCTCATGTTTAGGTCTTTAATTCATTTTGAGTTTGTTTTTGTATATGGTGTAAGAAAGTGGTCCAGTTTCATTCTTTTGCATGTCACTATTGAGTTTTCCCAATGCCATTTGTTGCAGAGACTGTCTTTTCCCCATTGTATATTCTTTCCTCTCTTGTCAAAGATTAATTGGCCACATAATTGTGGTTTTATTTCTGGGCTTTCTGTTCTGTTCCATTGCTCTATGTGTCTGTTTTTGTGTCCGTTCCATACTGTTTTGATAATTACAACTTTATAATTTAAATTGAAGCCTGAAATTGTGATAACTCCAGTTTTGTTATTTTTCAAGATTGCTTTGGCTATTCCAGTCTTTTGTGGTTCCATACAAACTTTAGGAGTGTTTGCTTTAGTTCTGTGAAAAATGCTGTTGGTATTTTGATACGGATTGCATTAAATCTGTAGATTGCTCTGGATCCTACAGACATTTTAATGGTATTTGTTCTCCCAGTCCATGAGTATGGAATATCTCCATTTATTTGTCATCGCAATTTCTTTCATCAGTGTTTTATAGTTTCCAGAGCATGGGTCTTTCACAACTTTGGTTAAGTTTATTCATAGATTTTCTTTAAGATTTTATTTTTGGATGTATTATCTATAGCCAACATGGGGCTCAAACTTAAAACCCCAAGATCAGGAGTCACATGCTCTACCAACTGAGCCAGCCAGGCACACTCTAGATATGTTATTATAAAATAAACTAATTACTCCTGCATCTATTTTTAAGATCCAAAGATAATGATTAAGAGTGATACAATACAGTCATTCATTTGCTTTACCCCACAGTACAAGTGCAATAGTCTCTGATTATTTCTTTTATTACACAAGTAATACATATGTTTATTGTTTCAGGGATCAGTGATGTTCAGTGATGTGTCTGTAGACTTCTCACAGGAGGAGTGGGAGTGCCTGGACCCTGGTCAGAGGGACTTGTACAGAGATGTGATGTTGGAGAACTATAGCAATCTGCTGTCAATGGGTAAGGGCTTCTATACCAGTAATTTAGAGTTCTCCTCTGGCATGTTTCTTCCACAGTGAATTTCCCAGCTGCTTTTCAAGTTACCGGCTGAATTTCTCCTCCCTATTCCCAAATAAGTGGTTTGAGCTGCAATGCAAAGGAAGAGTTGGAAATGGGCAACTCCAGTGACTGTGGCAGAAGCTTCATCCTCTTTCTTTGGCTGTTCCTGTAGTGACATCTCCTCTTTGGTCATCAAGGGACTGAATCTGATTTCTGGATCTAGTTTACCCACAGCATAACCATGTCCCATATCTTTTCTTGTGAGCAGGACTTTACATTCCTAAGCCTCAAGTTATCTCCTTACTGGAACAAGGAAAAGAGCCCTGGATGGTTGGCAGAGAGCTGACAAGAGGCCTGTGTTCAGGTGAGTGAGAAGCGATTGGGCAGGAGCAAGGCACCACAGGTAAACCCAGCACCTTTGAGGTGTTGTCTAGGCTGGTGGGACAAAACCAAGTCCTCTTAGAATGAGTTTACAAATGACCCATTTCATTCCTTCTCTCACTTACTACTCTTTCTGCTACTCTTCTCCAACAACTGCCATAATTTCAAATAGGAGGGGCTCTTCACTTCCCCTCCAATAAAACACTTTTACACGGGGCCCCTGGGTGGCTCAGTGGGTCAAAGCCTCTGCCTTCTGCTCAGGTCAGGATCCCAGGGTCCCGGGATCAAGCCCCACATGGGGGTCTCTGCTCCGCAGGAAGCCTGCTTCCTCCTCTCTCTCTCTGCCTGCCTCTCTGCTACATGTAATCTCTGTCAAATAAATAAATAAAATCTTTAAAAAAAAACAAAAACAAAAACAAACACTTTAACCCATATTTTACATTCAGTTCCTTGCTGCTTTTCTTCCTCTCACCTAATGTTGTGTGTGTATGCATGCCTGCACATGCGCGTATGCACTGCCCCTCCTCCAAGTGCTGGTCTTCGTGAGTATTACTTGCCAGTGACTTGTTTTATCAGTTGGTTCTGCATTTTTCCTTTACCCAGTGTTTTTCATTTACTGATTTGTGCAAGGGAGCCTGCCAGGTGCTGTCGTTTGCTAATCATGTCACCTATTAAGAACTTGGGAGTCAAAAAGTAGTACTAAAATATATCCATGAATAACTTCCACCAAGTAGAGTCTAGTAAAGAGAATCAGGGAGCTCAGCGGGAAGTCAGAGGCTCAATATGCAGAAGTGGAAAATTCGTACTGAATGAGTAGTTGGGAGGCTTGCAAGTGATTGCCGTCACCTCCTGTGATGACGATGTTGGGGAAAATGAAAAGGCCTATAATGGAAATGAAGAGGTGGCAGCGAAGGCGAGATTTAGGATAAAGTGTTACCTTATCCTAAATGCTCCAGAAGAACATTACTATATAGTAAGTATTGGTCCCGGTGCTGGAATTACAGCATTGAATAAAACATTCAGAGGTTTGCTCTGGTGGAGCCTGTGTTCTAGAGGGTGAGGGAGAAAAAATAGATATGTTTATAATGTCAGATGGTGGGAAGTGGTATGAAGGGAGGTTAGAGAAGGCCTCTTTGATGAGGTGATAATTTAACCAAGACCTGCAGGAAGCGAGTGAGCAAATGTTGTAAGTATCTGGTAGAAGAGATTCAGGCAGAAGGAAAAGGAAGAACAAAGTCCCCGGATGAGGAGCTTTTTGGCTTTTACCATTGTGATTGGAACGGAATAAGCAAAGAGGGACTTGTGGGAAAGGAGATCAGCAAAGTAGCAGGATGTACGTGTGCTTGTGTGTTTGTGTGCTAGGTGCATGTGAGAGGTAGGGTGTACCTGCTGATGATTTGGGGTCCTGTGGGCCTTGGCTGTGGGCTTTGAATTCTATTCTGAATGAGATGATTTGAGCAGAGGAATGACATCACATTTTTAAGGAGGTTGCTAATTTTGGATTCTTTTGAATAGAATTTAGGGCATCTGTGAACTTGGATAAGAAGAAAAAATACATCTTTATATTTACTAAACTCAAACTGAAAATTGCATATCTTCCTACTGTGGTGTTTGGAACAAACCATAGCAGTATTAGTAGTTCCTGTGACTTTGACATGAATGGAAATCACAGACATTTTCATATCATCTTACTGCTAATGTAGACATATTGAAAAATAATTCGTGCTGTCAGTATTTCAGAATTACTGTAGTACTAGGCTCAGTGCTAGGTCTTACAATTTAATGTATTAAGAAAACTCCAGGGTGTCTGGGTGGCTCAGTTGGTTTTGTCTACCTTCACCTCAGGTCATGAATCCTGGGTTCTGGGATCGAGGCCCACATCAGGCTCCCTGCTCAGTGGGGCATCTGCTTCTCCCTCTCCATTTGCCCCCCACTCCCTGCCCCACCACTCACGCTCTCTCTCTCTAATAAATAAAATCTATTAAAAAAAAAAGAAAAGAAAACTCCAGATGGAGGGAAGATCCCCTGTAAAGGACCTTCTAGGAGGGGAAAGCTTGATGTGTTTACAGAACTGAAAGAAAGTGGGGTTACTGGGCCAATGAGCAAGCAAGAATGGAGTGTGAGTCAGGATTGGAGATCAGTTGGTCTTTGCCAGTGAGTGTGAGGAGTTTGGTTTCAAGCAGTGGAACACCAGGCCACGTTAATTTGGGTTGCTGAATGGATTAAAGAGTGTGAGAACTTGGTGGGGAGATGGGTTGGGAGGCTACTTCAGTGGTCTGAGTAAGAGATGATTCTGGTTTGGAAGAGAGGCCGTTGGCAGTAGACATAGAAGAGGATAGTTTTAAACGCTACTTAGGAGCTTAACTGTATGGAAACTGCTGAAATATCCTATGGGGCTAGGAAAAAAAACAGAATATGCTGGAATAAATTCCTCGTTTCTGGCTTGAGATGTTCCAACAGGCTCCATTTTGATGTCTTCAAACCATTTAATTTGCCTAAAATCCCCATTTTTGATAAGAAATTCTTTCATAATAATAGCTATTCTTTATCATACTACAGAGCCCAGAAATCTTCCCCAATGTGTATTTATTCCTCTCAGGAAGCCTTTAATGGAGGTCAAGAAATTATCCACTTTTTGTGGTACATATAGTATGACGGTTTCTTACGTGTACATACATGCATGCTTATATACATGTATGTATGACTTGTAATCTTTTCATATGCCCAGGTATTGTATGTTTACTATCCTTCCCTTCTGATTCTGATGCACATCAATATTTGAGAATCACTGTGGGTTCCTTTTTCTGTAGTCTCCTCCCTCACAATCTGTATTAGATTTCATTAATTTCAGTGCGTTTTGGGAGTCTCTCTTCAGATTAAACAGATGTACTTGAGAACTGTATGTCATTTACTGTGAGATGCTGTTTTCACTTTAATTTTCCTATTTCTATTATAAAAGTTTAACTTTTCACAAATGGGTGGTGGGAGTAGGGTGGTAAGAATATTTACCATTTCATTTTCTTTCAGATCTGGAATCAATGTGTGAAACCAAGTTACTGTCTCTGAAGAAGGAAGTTTATGAAATAGAGTCATGCCAGAGGGAGATAATGGGACTTACAAAGCATGGCTTTGAGTACTCCAGTTTTAGAGACATTTTGGAATATAGAAACCACTTTGAAAAACAACTGGGATATCAAAGTGGGCATTTCAGCCAAGAAATACTCACTCAGGAATACATACCCACATTTATTCAACAGACATTCTTAACTCTACATCAAATAATTAATAATGAAGAGAAACCCTATGAATGTAAGAAATGTGGAAAGGTCTTTAGTCAGAATTCACAATTTATTCAACATCAAAGAATTCATATTGGTGAAAAATCTTATGAATGCAAGGAGTGTGGGAAATTCTTTAGTTGTGGCTCCCACGTTACTCGACATCTGAAAATTCATACTGGTGAAAAACCCTTTGAATGTAAGGAATGTGGCAAGGCTTTCAGTTGTAGCTCATACCTTTCTCAACATCAGAGAATTCATACTGGTAAGAAGCCCTATGAATGTAAGGAATGTGGGAAAGCCTTTAGCTATTGTTCAAATCTTATTGACCATCAGAGAATTCACACTGGTGAAAAACCCTATGAATGTAAAGTATGTGGGAAAGCCTTTACTAAGAGCTCACAACTCTTTCAACATGTGAGAATTCATACAGGTGAGAAACCCTATGAATGTAAAGAATGTGGCAAGGCTTTCACTCAGAGCTCAAAGCTTGTTCAGCATCAGAGAATTCATACTGGTGAAAAACCCTATGAGTGCAAGGAATGTGGCAAGGCCTTTAGTAGTGGCTCAGCGCTTACTAATCATCAGAGAATTCACACTGGGGAGAAACCGTATGATTGTAAGGAATGTGGGAAAGCTTTTACCCAGAGCTCACAACTTCGTCAACATCAGAGAATTCATGCTGGTGAGAAACCCTTTGAATGTCTTGAATGTGGGAAGGCCTTTACTCAGAACTCACAACTTTTTCAACATCAGAGAATTCATACAGATGAAAAACCATATGAATGTAGTGAATGTGGAAAGGCCTTTAATAAATGCTCAAATCTTACGCGACATCTAAGAATTCACACTGGTGAAAAGCCGTATAACTGTAAGGAATGTGGGAAGGCATTTAGTAGTGGCTCAGATCTCATTCGTCATCAGGGAACTCATACAGATGAATAATAAAAGTTAAAGCTCTTGTTACCTTCCTGATATTTTAAACAAAAAAAAATTCATGTTTGGTAGTTACACTTTCACTATTTTTTGTTTTTAAATTTTATTTCATATTTCTTTTTAATTCAAATGTATTTCAGTCTAAGTTATGAATTAAGATTCTAAATTGACATTTGCCCATCCCATGTCCCCCAGTCTTATACTAAGGGCAGTTGTTCAGTAATTATTTTCTTGCCCCTTATTTTATTTTACCTTCTTGGTGAGACATTCTTGTTTATATTTGCTTGAATTTTTTTTCTTCTCTGATCTATGTGTTTGTGCTTACACCAATATCATGCTGTTTAAAATTGTGTGACCTTGTATTTTTTAATCGTAGAATTACAACCTTGTTTTTGAAGTCAGTATTAATCTTTCATTTCATTTCACAAATGAAAGATTCTGATTCTTTCATTTCACAAATTTCTATTTTCTTACATAAAACTGAAAATCAGAAAACCAGCAACTAAAAACCAAGATTAACAGTAATCATAGCAACTATCAATGACTACTCTTAAGATGATAGAGCAAACCTCCCAGACTTTGTTTTTAAAGTCATGGTATGCATGCGTGTTATCCCTTCACCTGTTTTTATATCATGCCAAAAAATATGGTTGCCATTTTAGTAAATACAGATTTTTAAAATGAGTTATATATACTTAATTACTTTTCAAAATGATTTGATTACTCATGTTCTATTTGCATCTAAGTGTTTGCATTTATGAAGTATGCCCTGATTTTTGATCTTTGAATGTTTCTTTCTTTCTTTTAAAACATCTATTTCAATCGCTGAAATTATGCACATTTTCTCCCTGTAAACGGTTTTGTTCCTTTTTATCCACCCCAGTCTCATGCTAGAAAGGTAATTAACCAGTTATCAATGTGTTGTTTACGTCTAGTTTTTGTTTTTACTTCTCACTTTTATATGTTAGTGGCTTTTATTTCTTAGGTATTATTAAAGATAATCATGCTATATGTATGGGTTTGTTGTGAGGATTCAATGAATTAATAAATGTAAAGTGCTTAGAACTATTCCTATTACATAGTAAATGCTTAGTAAAAGTTGTCCACTGTGTTTCTTGATACACTCATTTTCATAGTTATCTTTATTATTTGTAGAGATTACTTTTTTTAAAGTTTATTTAAGGGGCGCCTGGGTGGCTCAGTGGGTTAAGCCTCTGCCTTCGGCTCTGGTCATGATCCCAGGGTCCTGGGATCAAGCCCCGCGTCAGGCTCTCTGCTTGGCAGGGAACCTGCTTCCCCCTCTCTCTCTCTGTCTGCCTGCCTCTCTGCCTACTTGTGATCTCTCTCTGTCAAATAAATCAATAAAATCTTAAAAAGTAATAAAGTTTATTTAAATAATCTCTATACCCTATGTGGTACTTGAATTCATGACCCTGAGATTGAGAGTCACATACTCTTCCGACTGAGCCAGCCAGGTGTACACATGTTGGAATACTAGAATATAAAATCCTTTACTCAAATCCTATTTGTGCAAAGGATTTTAACCATATTGTTTACCTTTGTCTAAGAGAATTCCTAATGGAAAAAAGAGATGAATGTAATGAGATATAGGAAAGGTTTTCTTATCACTCATTATTCAGCGTGAAATTTTAAAAGAAAAAAAGAATTTGTGGATAGTCTTCCTTCAGACTCCACCTTCTATGCCTGCACAAGATTAATGCCAGACCGAAACCCTGTGAATAGGATGAATAGTTGAAAGCACAGCTATCAAAAAACAGGAAGAGGGCGCCTGGGTGGCTCAGTGGGTTAAGCCGCTGCCTTCGGCTCAGGTCATGATCTCAGGGTCCTGGGATCGAGTCCCGCATCGGGCTCTCTGCTCAACAGGGAGCCTGCTTCCCTTCCTCTCTCTCTGCCTGCCTCTCTGCCTACTTGTGATCTCTGTCTGTCAAATAAATAAAATCTTTAAAAAAAAAAAACAGGAAGAGATAAGAATATTATTCCTAATAATTAATCCCCCCCCAAAACAGAAAACATACAGGCCACAATATTTGACCAGAATGGAAGAAACCATAACAACAGGATAGCCGTCAAATATCTGAATTTTAATTTAGTGCTCCCTATTGATTAACATGGGTTAGGGAACTAAGTCCTTAATGTACATATTATTTAATGTGAGTGAAAATGCACACAATTGAAAAACCTGTGAATGGCAGGTTGTATTGGAAGTTTTATAAACCATTATGCATGTATAAAAATGCTAGAGGGGTCATTACTAAACTCAAGGAGCTTAAATAAGCAAAAACAAGTCTAAAATGTGAGTAGAGAAAGGCATTATTTATGCAGAAATAAATGAAAAAAGTGGACAAGCTGAAATAGAAAATTTGATTATTTGACAAAAAAAGACATTTTAGTGACTTGTGTGGGGAAATAAGGATGATAGATGGGCAATACTGTGAAATTGAAATGACTACATATTTAAAAGGACTTTATCTTTCTGGGTTATGACAATGTTCTGAGATTTGTGGTGTATGGTTGTACAACTTTGTGAAAATACTAAAAACTACTGAACAATATACTTTAAAAGGGTGAATATAATAGTATTTGAATTTTATCTCAAGGTAAAAGTACTATAGATATTTTTATACCATATGTGAAAATCTGGACAAAGTATGGGGCGTTTTATAAAGAAATTAAACGGACATCAGAATTGACTAGAGCAGGGTGCCTCTGCCTCGGTTCAGGTCATGATCTCAGGGTCCTGGGATCGAGCCCTGGGGCTCTCTGCTTAGCAGGGAGCCTGCTTCCCCACCGCACCCCACCCCCCGCCTCTCTGCCCAATTGTGATCTCTGTCTGTCAAATCTACCTATCTATCTTAAAAAAAATTGACTAGAGCAGAGGTGTAAAATCTTTTATTTTTTATTTTTTTAAGATTTTATTTATTTATGTGACAGAGATCACAGGTAGGCAGAGAGAGAGGAGGAAGCAGGCTCCCTGCTGAGCAGAGAGTCCGATGCGGAGCTCGATCCCAGGACCCTGGGATCAAGACCTGAGCCAAAGGCAGAGGCTTTAACCCACTGAGCCACCCAGGCGCCCCAGTGCTTATATAATTTTATCATGTGTGTAAGTTTCTTAGAGCCACCACAATATACAAAACTGTTTAATACCACAAGGCTACCTTGATGCTATCACTTTATTTTTTTTTAAAGATTTTATTTATTTATTTGACAGAGATCACAAGTAGGCAGAGAGGAAGTCAGAGAGAGAGAAGCAGGCTCCCTGCTGAGCATAAAGCCTGATGCAGGGCTCAATCCCAGATCCCTGGGATCATGACCTGAGCCAAAGGCAGAGGCTTTAACCCACTGAGCCACCCAGGCACCCTGATGCTACCACTTTATAACCATGCCCACCACTTCCCACATCCTTAAGCCCTGGTGACTATTAATCTGTTCACCATTTCGATAATTTTTTAAATTTCAAGAATGCCATATAAATGGAGTCATACAATATATAGACTCTTGTGACTGGCTTTTTTTTTTTTTTTACCCCCTCAGCATAATTGCCTTGAAATCCATCTGAGTTGTTGCATATAACAATGGTTGAGTAGTATTCCATGATGTGACTATACCACAATTTCTTTTTGTTTTTTATTTTTGTTTTTTTTTAATGTGCCACAATTTAAAAAACTATTTCTCCATTCAAGGATATGTGAATTATTTCCAAATTTTGGCTATAACGAATAAAGCTAATATGAACATTCGTGTACAGACTTTATGTAAACACAGTTTTCAGTTCTCTGGGATAGATGCAAAAGAGTTCCATTGCTGAGTCATATGGTAAGTGCATTTTGAGATTTATAAGAAACTGCTGAACTGGGGCGCCTGGGTGGCTCAGTGGGTTAAGCCGCTGCCTTCGGCTCAGGTCATGATCTCAGGGTCCTGGGATCGAGTCCCGTATCGGGCTCTCTGCTCGGCAGGGAGCCTGCTTCCCTCTCTCTCTCTCTCTCTGCCTGCCTCTCTGTCTACTTGTGATCTCTGTCAAATAAATAAATAAAATCTTTAAAAAAAAAAAAAAAGAAACTGCTGAACTATTTTCAAGAGTGGATGTGTTGTATTACTGTATAATATATACTGCAATACATGGGTGATCTAGTTCTCCACATCCTCACCCCCCTCTGCTGTTGTCGCAATATTTTAGCCATCCTGCCCCTAAAGGAAAGTAACCTTGCAATAACAAATCTGATTTTTTTTTTTTTTTTTTTTTTTGCCTAGTACAGTTTTCTTGTTCCTGCTCTCTTCTGACCATAAAATCTCTTGCTTTGTATGGCTCTTTGGAACTCCTTTTTACCTACTAGATTGAGTGCTACCCAATCAAGGAATGTGGAATAAAGCCAGGGAGATCTTTAAGTTTTGCCCAATTGAATTTTAATATAGCAGAGGTCTCTAGATGCCTGGTATCTCACCCTGGGATGATTTAGCACAGATAAGGCAGATCAGGAGATGGTTGATAGACCCTAGTTTGGTTGGTTTATATGTAAAAGACATGCTTCTTGCTAAGCCCCTTGCTAGCTCTAAGAATTGGCCAGACCTGGGAGGGAATCTCTCTCCAGGTCTGTAAGGCTCCCAAATGCCCAAACATCAGGAATACAGAAAATAAGAAAACATACTTAATGCAACTGGGCTTGTGGTAAATAGATGCCAAAGAGACACAGACAGAATCTAAGAAAACACAGAACTCATATATACAATAGAATCATACTCATCAATAAAAAGGAGTTAGCTATCGATAGGTGCAGCAACTTGGCTGGAACTTAAGGGCATTGTGCTTAATGGAAAAAAAGCCAATATCAAAAGGCATACCTTGTGTGGTTCTTTTTTTTTTTTTCTTTTAAAGATTTTATTTATTTATTTGACAGAGAGAGATCACAAGTAGGAAGAGAGGCAGTCAGAGAGAGAGGAAGCAGGCTCCCTGCTGAGCAGAGCACCCGATGCGGGGCTTGATCCCAGGACCCTGAGATCATGACCTGAGCCAAAGGCAGAGGCTTAACCCACTGAGCCACCCAGGTGCCCCCCTTGTGTGGTTCTATTCGACATCTTCAAAATGACCAAACTATAGTGACAGGGAAAAGGTGAGTAGCTGCCAGGGGACAGGGACATGGATGGGTTGAATAGGTGTGGCTATTAAGGGGTAGCAGATGGGGCTCCTCTGAGGTTATGGAACTGACTGTGGTGGTGGTTACGGGAATCTGTACATGAGGTCAGCATGTCCCGCGCTGTCAGCACACACAGACACACATGCGCGTATGTACAAACTGATGAAAATGGAGTAAGGTGTGTAGCCTGGTTAACAGTATTATACAGAATCAGTTTCCCAGTTTTGATATTGTATCACAGTATATGTCACTGGGGGGAAGCGGGGCGAAAGGTTCAGGACTGAACGTACTATTTTTGCAACTTCCTGTGAATTTATAATCATAAGAGATTAAAAAAACAAACATAATTTAAAAAGTAAAAAATATGAAGATGTTAAGAGTCAGTACCAATCCTAGACCCACCCAAGAGTCTTATTTTTGTTCTGTTTCATTTTCTTGTACAAATACCTTTTTCTCCCAATTTTCAGACTTGCAGAGCAGCTCTGGCCTCAGCCTTTCCATCCCCACAAAGGCGTCTTGGGTGTGGGGGCTGGGGCTCCTGCTCCCAGGCACAGCCATCACCGGGGAGCTGAAGACTGTCAAGACTGTTGCCATGTGCCCAGCCTCCCCTCTGGATGGCCTTGTCAGGGTGTCCTTGCAGGCCCCACGATGTCGCAGCCTCAGAGCAGGCTTCGGGGTGGACCCAGGAACTTACGCAGCCTGCGGGCAACCCGTGCGCATGCGCAGTGCTCTGACTAGGCTGGGTGGGCATTACCTGTGTGACATCTACTTGGACAAGGAGAGTAAACAGAAAATAGCTTCATTTTTGTCTCTCATTGTCACTTTAAATACGCTCAGTGGAGCTAGATCTTCCCTGATCCTGCGGTAAAATTTATTTAAAGATCATGATTTTTTCTTTTTTGATCACTTCTACCTACTACAAATGGTTTCAACTCAGTAATAAAAATGTCCAG